TATAAAAGCATTTATGAAGATCTAATTGGTCATTTTGGGGGGAGTATAAGGGTGGATGACGAGGGGCTCTTCAAAATGAGGTGATAAGACCATACCGTAGTTGGTATCTAATGTTATCGAATTTGTGGGGCTGACAACAATACGCTATAAGACTATACAATAACAGACACAAGTGGCTGTTATACTATAATTTAAAAAAAAAAACATAAAAAGAAACTAGAGTTATCCCCGAAAGGTTAATAATGATATATATATATACTATTATTATAACTCTTATCGAAATGATTTTTTTTGTCTATTCAGAATATCCGATTTCGAAAATTGGCAAAGAGAGAGACATGGAAACATTACAAGAAAGATTCCTCTATCAAATAAAACTATATTTAGATATAAAGGAAAACCACTTGCTTGAAAGAAAAAAAAAACTTGATTGATTAGAATTTGTTAATTCATATTAAAAATATTTAATCATATTCTCTGTATACTTTTTACCTTGTTAAGTAGCAAGTTGGGTTTTTTGTTCCTTTGAAGTTTTAGTTAAATCTAGCTTAAGCTAGTTGATGTCAGTTGTTGCATAGCAAGAGACAAAAAAAAGTCAAAATTAGTCAAAAATTGTTTGTAATAATTGCACTACTATAGTTGTAATTGATGATTAGTTATGTCCGAAATTACAATAATTAAATTTAAAATTTCATAATCATTTTGATGTTCAGGAACCTAAATTAAACTTCTTCGAGTCTATTTTGACTCTTAGTTTTATTTTTTTGCCTTGATCAATAACTTTAAAAAAAGGTAGATCAAAAAGAAGCAATAAGCTCTTTCTTCCTAGTTTTCCTCTTGCTTCTTTTTGCACTGTAATTTAGAATCTATTTAATTATTTTATAAAATGCAGCGAACTAACTTTAGTAATTCTATTTGTAATTTACCAAATTAATTCATATACTACGATGAATATGGATAACTCTAAGTTATATAATTCACTCACATACGATCTTCTAACTGTGAATTTAACCAACTTGGTAAGAACATGATTTTTATATTTGCTTAAAATGTGTTGCTAATATCATGTATTAAATTTGCTACTCTTGTTACGAGGCATTTTTAATGGAAACTTTCAATTATAGAGACATCAAAATATCATTTGGTAACTGTTGAAAATATTGATCATATGATAATCGCCAAAAAAAATTATTACAAGAAATATTTTAAGTTAAAGGATTATAAAACAAGGGTTCAATCTTTATCTTTAGAGTTGGTTATCCACCAATTCATTTTTAGAAATACCATAGAAGCAAACAAAATAAGTAAAGAGCTGCAAGAAGAATCTCGTAATAATTATTCTATAATATTAGAAATTTTTACTTTACATTACTTCATTTCTTTTACGTCATAAATTTTGATTGAACTATTTCGTTTGTTAACACCATCAAATGAGTGACGAATTACTTGATCTGCAAGTAGTATTCTTGAATACGTTAACTTAAAATACTAATCAATTTTCCAAGTCATTCAAATAAACAAATTAAATAGTATCAGTGAAAGAACCTTTCATATTAAGTATTTAGACTCTTTATATATCTCTCTTTTATTCATAATCACTTCTAAGTCCCGCCAAATTTCTCTGTGTCCTGGCAGCTTCTGGTGTCCCCAAAACTCGATTTAGTATTGAAGATATGTTACTTCCAAATGACTACTTAAACTAATATATTCTTGTGTGGTGTACATATGTATAGTTCATCTGTACACCACATACCTAACATCTCCCAAAAGAATTGACAAAAATGTCACGTTTCTCAATGGAAGCCACCAAAAGTAAGAAAAGAGAAAAACAAAAATAAAACTAAAGGAACATTTTATTTTGACCATTTTCTTTGTTTCCCAGCGGTTTTACGGAGGAAGACAAGTACATCGAAATGTTGAAAATATCTAAAGTATAGTAATAGAGACGCATAGACTCACAGCCTTGAAGTGAAACTTTTCGAAATTTTTCAGTCCAAGAATAAACCTTGCAGTGCAATTAGTTAGTTACAGTTTATGATTTGATCGAAACCTCGGATGAGTTTATTACCAAAACTATACTTTGTAACCAATTATTGTATTCCTAACAAGCTATCGATCAATTATTATCTTGCTTGTATCTTCCTCGTTACAATATATTGTACTATATATATAAAACTATATCTTACATGTGTACCTCTTAGCATCGTATTTTTGTTGTAGTTGTTAATCTATATTTCAAAATATAGATCAGTATCAATAGATCCAATTGCAAAATGGCTCCAGGTAAGAAAGTTGCTCCAGCTCCATTCGCCGCCAAGTCTTCTAAGACTGGTAAGGCTAAGAACCCATTGACCAACTCTACTCCAAAGAACTTTGGTATTGGTCAAGCTATCCAACCAAAGAGAAACTTGTCTAGATACGTCAAATGGCCAGAATATGTCAGATTACAAAGACAAAAGAAGATCTTGGCTGTTAGATTAAAGGTTCCACCAACTATTGCTCAATTCCAATACACTTTGGACAGAAACACTGCTGCTCAAACTTTCAAATTGTTCAACAAGTACAGACCAGAAACTGCTGCTGAAAAGAAAGAAAGATTGACCAAGGAAGCCGCTGCTATTGCTGAAGGTAAGACCAGACAAGAAGCTTCTCCAAAGCCATACGCTGTTAAGTTTGGTTTGAACCACGTTGTTTCTTTGATCGAAAACAAGAAGGCTAAATTGGTCTTGATCGCTAACGATGTTGACCCAATTGAATTAGTTGTTTTCTTACCAGCTTTGTGTAAGAAGATGGGTGTCCCATACGCCATTGTCAAGGGTAAGGCTAGATTAGGTACTTTGGTTCACCAAAAGACCTCTGCCGTAGCTGCTTTGACTGAAGTTAGAGCTGAAGATGAAGCTGAATTAGCTAAATTAGTCTCTACCATCAATGCTAACTTTGCTGAAAAATACGATGAAGTTAAGAAGCACTGGGGTGGTGGTTTAGTCGGTGCCAAGGCTCAAGCCAAGTTGGACAAGAGAGCTAAGGCTTCCTCCGTCTAAATAATCACATTGCAGAAATAATATAAATTATCAAATTTTTATTTGTTTTGTTAATATAAAGAAAGAAAGAAAAGAATTTAATAAAAAATTTTTTTTAAAAATAGAATAATTGCGTTTTTTTCAGCTTTACATGTCTCTTTGTTGAAGCTCGTTAAAATGATCATAGATTCATTATAGGATGAGAGTATTTCACTCATCTATTGAATTGAAGATATGATCACATTTTTTCTGAGTTACAGAAGAGCATGCTTAAATATCTTCGTAAATAAAGAATCAATCTTGAAATAACCTTAAATAGCAATCTTGGGCCATTTCAGGTACGAAATTAATCGTCTCTACTGTGGTATTTCTATTGTATCTAGATCTACTCAGCTCTTAACTTGCGGTTACGTGCGACTCTAATAAATCATATCATTAATTACGAATTTCTGTCATAGTAAAAAAAATTGCGTCAGTGTCAAAAATTTCAAAAAATAAATTGTAAATCAATTTTGAAGTGAGGCAAACAGACGTGACAATCAATATATAAAAAGACAATCATTCATGATGACAGAATGTTGTGAACTTCTTGACTTTTATTTGTTAGCAGTTGCTAGTTTTGTCTAATAACACAGGATATGAAACCATAAAGAGTTGTAAAGGTATTTCAAGTTATTTTGATATTTAATAAGACAAGTTTACAGCTTCTAGAATAAATAGATATAGATAGATACATACATAGATATATAGATAGGTAGGTAGGTAGATAGATAAATAGATAAAGGTAGGTAGATAAAGGTAGATAGATAGATATCTTCATTAGGTGACATAAAATAAAATGACAGAGGATATAATTGAAAATTCAAAACCAAGAACCACATCAATTTTTGTAGGAAATCTTGGATTGAATGTTGATGAAAATGATTTAAGAGAATTATTCCAGGAATTTGAAATTGAATCTATTACTATATCAAAATCAAAAAATCAAATGATATTAAATTTATACTCAATTATTACAATCAATGGTACTGTTGATATTAAAGAAGCTAAATCAAAATACGATAATTATAAATTGAAGGATACAAATATAAGAGTTCACCCAGTAAGAAGGCCACAGCTTAAAAGAAAATCGAGTGCTAGGTCATCAAATTCATTTAATAGCCAAAGATCGATGTTGTCTAGATCTTCATCCAAAAATTTACAGAAGGAGAAATCTAAAGATACTGTATATGTAAATAATGTCTCATATGAAACTACAAAGGAGGAAATTGCTGATTTTTTTGGAACGAATATTGATATGGTTGTTTTACCAATGCGAAAGATTAAAAATCACAAGACAAATAAAATACATTTCTCAAGGAAATTTAATAAAGGTATTGCGTTTGTCACATTTCCTGAACTAGATAAAGATATAACCGAAATCGTTGATAAATTTCAAGGTAAAAAATTAAATGATAGAATACTAGCTACTGATATAGCATTGCTCAGAGAGCCCAATAATAGAACACAAATTTAGTTAAATTACGAAAAAAATGACAGGAAAAAAGGAATGCTTAATATCAAAATGTTGCTTTTAATACTTTGATCTCCCTCACAATTAATTGTATTTAATAATGTTTCTCTTTTACAATATTTGTATTTGTATCAATTGACATATACTTCACCAATGGGGAACTATTAATAAATAAAATAAAATAAAATAAAATAAGATAAGATAATAAAATCAATTCAAAATCTTTAATTTAAATTCAATACAGATATTATTGGCTATCATTGACTGAAACTCAAATAAATGCAAGCCATAATTTAATTGAATCTAAAATAATAACTTACAAAAAAAATTGGCTCATACCGGTTTCATTATTACGTTATTTGCAGCAGTTGTCTCCACTCTTAAACAGTTAGCGTTGCATCAAAAGATAGAGAAATGATAGCTAAAATATGGCTCCTAATCAACATTTTTAGATTGTAACCCTTCTATTCATCATCATTCATCTTAGTCATATTTTTTCTCGTTTTAAGATGAGAAGCAAGCATTAAAAAATTTAGAAAATATTTGGAAAATACTGCAATTGATTTTTTGAAGTTAGTCACTCAGAGAAAGGTTGAGTAATATTCGAAACAAAACTTATTCGGAAATTCTAAAAATTATTTAAAACTTTATCCAAATAAGAGATGATGATTATATTGGATAGATTGTACATTTATTATTGTAATTTGGTTATTGTAACTTGTCACCGTTGATATTTAAAGAGTTAACAAGGATAGAGTTAACCTACATTTATTTCTGGAAGGATTTGAATTTTTACTTGAAAGATTATATGTACTTGTATCAAGTACAGATTGAAATTTTGTGGAGTCGATATAGATATAAATATTTAATTTGATTTTATTATAAACATTTTAATAGGTTTCAAATCCAGAGATTAATAATTGACTTTTCAAAGCAAAATATTGTTATGGATCCTACTTTAAACAACAGATGCGTCTTTTGGGATTATGACGATATAACAAAATGTGGTAGAAATTTAACATTAGGCTATTATTTGCCATTGTCACTTTCAGGATTAATTATCTTTTATGTTTTTATTAATCTCATTGTTAATTATTATAGATACAATATTTTGGGCCTTCCAAAAAATAATGTAATAGAGGAAGTATTATATGGAACATTTGATCAACTCTCAGAAGCTAATAATGAAGAAGTGCCGTTGTTAATTGGTTCTAATTCAATTAATCATAAATCTATACCGAGTAATAGTGCAGCTGGCGCTATAAAGGATAAACATTTCTCTTTGGATAGGTTAAACCCAATAAGCGCAAATGGAGCAACACATGGTAAGCCAAAAGTAATTAAACGTAATTATATTGAAAAATCAAGATTAATTGTTGAATTTCTTTTGGTTTGTTCACAATGTATAATTCATTATTCGATGTTGAAATACTATTCAACCATACATGATCAATATCCGTTAAATTCAATTATAGCAAATATGATTGTTTATTGCATCCTATTGATATTAGTTTCACTTAGACTCATAAATATTAACGATAATGTGAGATACATTTATTATTATGCTGGAAACATTTGGGCGGCATCATTTGGAGCTTATACAATTCTATTTGTCTCTAATTTTTTCACTTATCGTTCATTGTTAATAGGTCATATTGATGATAAAATTCTGAGGAGATATTTTACTTCTCAATTCTATATTGTTGCAATTTTATTCAACTTGTTATTCTTTGCGCCTATTAAAAATTCATTCGCATTAAGTTATAAAACAGATGATTGGATAATTCCATCCCCTGAGCCTATTACATCAATTGCTAGCTTTGTTAGTTTCAGTTGGATTGACCCTTTTGTATACAAAGCTTATAGAACAAGTTTGAAGGCAAAAGATATTTGGGGTTTAATCATGCAAGATTATTCTATATTCGTAGTTAAGCAATTTAGAGATTACTCAAATAAATTTTTAGGAAAAAAAAGAGGGTTTTCTTATATTTTGATAATGTTTTTCTCGAACTATATTCAATTGCAAGCTTTATGGGCTATCCTCGATAGTGTTTTGACCTTTGCGCCAACAATTTTATTAAAAAAGATTCTAGAATATATTGAAGACAGATCATCTGCATCTTTAAATTTGGCATGGCTCTATGTTTTTTTGATGTTCTTCTGTAGAGTTATTGTAGCTGCATGTTCAGGACAAGCTTTATTTTTTGGAAGAAGAGTATGTGTCAGAATGAGAAGTATTTTAGTTTCTGAAATTTACTCAAAGGCTTTGAAAAGAAAAATTTCTAATGATAAAAGTGCAAGCTTAAAAGACTTGAATGAGCAAGAAGAAGTGGATCCTCAAATTGAAAATGATTTAGAGAATATAGATGGTGATGAAGAGTCAAAATCATCCAATTTAGGATCTATTATTAATTTGATGGCAGTTGATACGTTTAAAGTTGCTGATATATGTGCATACTTGCATCACTTCGTTGAGGCAGTCGTTATGACAATTGTCGCCTTAATTTTACTATTCAAATTATTGGGTGTAGCAGCTATTGTTGGTGCTTCTTTGATTATCGCGCTGCTACCATTAAACTTTAAGTTGGCAAGTCTTCTAGGTAAATACCAGAAAAAGTCCTTAGAAGTTACTGATAAACGTATTCAGAAATTAAATGAAGCCTTCCAAGCTATTCGCATCATTAAGTTTTTTTCATGGGAAGATAACTTTGAGAAAGATATATTAGAAGTGAGAGAAAGAGAACTTCGAATGATTCTCATCAGATCAATTGTTTGGGCTATTAGTTCATTTGTATGGTTTGTTACACCAACTATTGTAACAGGTGCATCTTTTACTTACTACGTTTATGTTCAAGGAGAAGTACTAACAATTCCTGTTGCATTTACTGCACTATCGTTATTTGCATTATTGAAAATTCCTTTAGATACATTTTCTGATATGCTAAGTTTTGTTATTCAGTCAAAAGTATCATTGGATAGAATTCAAGAATTCTTGGAAGAAGAAGATACCAAGAAGTACGAGCAATTGACAGTAGATAAATATCAAAATAAAATTGCATTTAAAAATGCAACAACAACTTGGAACAAAGAAAAACAGGACTTTAAGTTAAGAAATATTGATATCGATTTCAAAATTGGTAAATTAAATGTAATTATTGGGCCCACCGGTTCTGGTAAGACTTCTCTATTAATGGCTTTATTGGGTGAGATGGATTTGATAGATGGTGAGATAATCGTTCCATGCTTGGATCCTAGAGAGGACTTAAAACTCGACGCCAACGGTTTGACAAATTCTATTGCCTATTGTTCTCAGGCTGCCTGGCTCTTAAATGATACTGTAAGAAATAATATTTTATTCAACAGTCCATATTGCGAAGAAAGATACAATGCTGTCGTCGAAGCTTCTGGGTTGAAAAGAGATTTTGAAATATTGAATGCTGGTGACATGACTGAAATTGGTGAAAGAGGTATCACGTTATCTGGAGGACAAAAACAAAGGGTTTCTCTAGCTAGAGCATTGTATTCCAATTCTAAGCACTTATTATTGGATGATTGTCTTAGTGCTGTTGATTCCCACACTGCTACTTGGATTTATGACAATTGTATTTCTGGACCATTGATGGAAAATAGGACATGTATCCTTGTCTCTCATAATATTGCGTTAACCCTGAGAAATGCGGATTATGTTGTAAAGTTAGAAAATGGTAAAATTGTCGAACATGGTGAGCCTCTTACTTTACTAAAAAAAGGTGTCCTTGGAGAAGATGAGATGGTGAAAACAAGCATTATGTCTAGCCATGGATCTTCTACAAACTTGGCTACTAAGAGCTACCTAAATATGACTAAGTTAAATAATCAAATGAAGGCATCTAGTCCATCTGAATTGCAATCTAAAAAAGATACAGATGCAGAGAGAGCTAAAAAAGGTAAATTAATTGAGGAAGAAAAGAAAGCTGAGGGTGTTGTTAGCATTAAAGTCTACAAGTGGTACTTAAATATCTTTGGTGGTTTCAAAATCATCGTTATTTTACTGTGCGTTTTTTCTATTGTACAGGCAATCTATGTTGGTCAATCATGGTGGATTCGTTACTGGCTCTCGAATGGAACAGCAGCTACTATACAAGCTCTAACTGGAAAAATAGCAACATATACAAGTAACACTATATTCCAGGTATTTGTTGCAATTGGATCGGCGGTTCGTTCTGATTTTAACACAACTAACTCAGAAACTGTAAATTCCAAAAAGGAACATAGTCCAGCATACTACTTGTCTGTTTACTTTCTTATTGGTATCATCAATGCTATCCTAGCTGCTTTGAAGAATATCTTTAATTACTATAGTGGTATTGCTGCATCGAGAAAAATCTTTTCATTGTTGTTAAACAAGGCACTTCACGCAAATTTAAGGTTTTTTGACTCTACTCCTATTGGTAGAATAATGAATAGATTTTCCAAAGATATGGAAGCAGTTGATCAGGAATTAGTTCCTTACTTGGAAGCTGCACTTTACTGCATTATTGATATTTCTTCGACCATCCTGTTGATTACATATATTACTCCTGAGTTTTTGATAATTGCAATTTTGGTTGCTGGTTTATATTATGCTATTGGTGTGTTATATCTTGCAGGTTCCCGTGAACTGAAGAGATTTGATTCAATAACAAAATCCCCTATATATCAACATTTTTCTGAGACCCTTGTTGGTGTCACAACTGTTCGTGCTTATGGAGATGAAGCTCGTTTTATGCGTGAAAATCTCAAGATGATTGATGAGAATAACAAGCCCTTCTTTTACTTGTGGGTTTCCAATCGTTGGTTAGCTTTTAGAATCGACGTAGTCGGTGCACTAGTTATTTTTGGCTCTGGTGTCTTCGTTTTATTGAACATCGACAAAATTGATTCTGGTTTAGCTGGTATATCTCTATCATTCGCGATTTCATTTACTGAGAGCGCTCTATGGTTAGTGAGACATTATTCTAACTTGGAAATGAATATGAATTCTGTAGAAAGATTGATGGAATACATGGAAGTTGAACAAGAACCTTATAAATCAAGCTCATTGGATGTTCCTTCTAGTTGGCCAGAAGAAGGTAAGATAGAAGTTAACGATGTCTCCCTACGTTATGCTCCCAACTTGCCTAGGGTTATTAAAAATGCCACTTTTACTGTTGATCCAAAGATGAAGGTTGGTATTGTTGGCAGAACAGGTGCAGGTAAATCTACAATTATAACTGCGTTGTTTAGATTTTTGGACCCAGAAACAGGTAGTATCAAAATAGATAATGTTGACATTTCAACTATTGAATTGAAAAAATTGCGTAGATCTATTACCATTATACCTCAAGATCCAACTTTATTCTCCGGTACTATTAAGAGTAACTTGGATCCCTATGATGAATATTCCGAGAAACAGATATTTGAAGCATTGAAAAGAGTCAACTTGGTAACTGAGAAAGAATTGGCTTCTGGAAATTCAGATCAACAATCAATTGCCTCCGGAAATGCGAATAAGTTTTTGAATGTGAATAATGAAATAAGTGAAGGTGGTAGTAACCTATCGCAGGGTCAACGCCAACTGGTTTGTCTTGCACGTTCATTACTTCGTTGTCCTAAAGTTATTCTCTTAGATGAAGCAACTGCTTCAATAGATTATGCTTCAGATGCAAAAATACAAGAAACTATAAGAAATGAATTTGACGATAGTACAATTTTAACTATCGCACATAGATTAAGAACAGTTATAGATTATGACAAAATTCTAGTTATGGATGCTGGTGAAGTGAAGGAATTTGATCATCCTTATTCCCTATTACTAAATAAAAATAGCATATTTTATGGCATGTGTGAACAGAGTGGTGAGCTAGACTTATTATTAGATTTGTCAAAAGAAGCATTTGTGAAAAAATTAAATTCTAAATAGATACATTCAGAAACAGATTTGATCCGCATGTGAACTTAATTATTTGACCCTGTATCCAATGACTATTTATCACTATTTGTTTATATATATCTTCATCCATTCATATGTTATTTAGTTAATTCCCTAATTCATCTTTAATTAAATTATTTATTAGTTTATTTATTTAGCTGAAAAAACCATTGATACTATTAATTTAAATCATTTGAACTGAAGTCTGAAAAGTTCTTGTCTGATTCTATGATTCGTAGCTCCTTATCCAGCTAGTTATTATCATTCCATCACTTAATTTTTCTGATACTGGAACTAATTTATATCCCAATACTTTAGGAATTGCATAAAAAACTAAGAACCAATAGCTTGTGCAACTGATAATGATTGACAGTGCTGTGATCTGAAAGGAAGGAAAATTCCCTACTCTGTTTAACTCTTGATTACCAAAAAAAGGAGCAACTAATAAATAAATCGAGACCAAAACCATAGAAATAGCACCTAAAGAGCTACATCTAATTTTGGGGATTTCATACTTCCTTTTATGTCTATAAATAAATAATCCAACAGCAGTCAAGAAAAGGAAAAATTGATTTCCATAACCTTCCATATTCACCAAGTACTCAAATGAGCCACCTTCTGGGGGTAGTATAAGTAACCATAATATTGTTAATGTTCCACAGATCATCAAAGAGGGAAGCGGTGCGTCATTTGGCCAGTTCCTAGATAAGATATTACTGAATGGGACATAGCCCTCTCTAAATACTTCTTGATTCATTCTTGAGAGTCCATATAGAACTACAAATATATTTGATGCAGTGGATAACACGATTGACAATGACATTAATCTGCTTCCTAAATTTTTACCAAATAATTTCTTGAACAAAACAGAACCAATTAAAGGGCCTGCCTCTTTAATTTCTTCAAATGTCAAAACTTTTAAATAAGCAAAATTCATCATTGCATAGCAAACAAAGCAAATAAATATTGATAATGGACCAGCCAACTTCAATGTTCTATTGGGGTTTTTAATTTCTGAAGATACCACATGTACGCTATCCCAGCCAGAAAAGCAATAAAAAGCGCCAATGAATGCAGAGGCCAATGATGAGTATGAAATCCCAGTATTACCTTGGTATGATGTCCAATGAGTGAAATTAATATTATCTGATTTGTAAAAGAAAATAGTGTAAAAGCCAGTTAAACACATTAAAAATATTAATAGGAATTTTAAAGTACCTAAAAAATTTTGAATTTTAATTCCAAATTTCACTGAAAACCCATGGATAGCTATGATGACCAAAATGATTGCAATGCTTACAAACTTTGAATAATCCAAATTGGTATAACCTAAGATGACTAATAAATATTTCGCAAAAATGATAGAATTTGAAATTGCGATACCTGTTAGAACACTATAACAAGCAAATGAGACATTCATCATTAATGCTGGTTTATCATAAGCTTGTTCCAGAAAATTTTTTCTTCCACCAGATTTTGGCAACCAAGACCCAAATTCCAAAAAAATATATAAACCTGAGTATGCTAGAAGTGTTGCTACTATCCAAATTAATGCAAATATTAGAATATTCCCCCCAGAACTAACGAATATACTTGAGGGAGTAGCAAATATCCCCGAGCCCACCATTCTTGAGACAAATAGAACCATAGTTGAAAAAACTCCTAAGTGTCTGCCCTGAGGTACTTCAGTTTTTATAACGGTATCAGATAATTCATGATTTAAACTCAAACAACTATATGACCCATTCTTTGTACTCACTAAATAGCCATTAATTTCTACATCCTCATCCAAATAGTTATAAGTCTTCTGATTATCAACCAAACGATCACTTTCCATCCTAAATTAAGTAGAATATATAAATTAATAGAAATATATCTATATTTTTCAATTTATTTTCCCTATAAGGTACCTAATTACTAAAGTACCTTAATTTATGGAAACTTTACCAATTTCTTTCCTTAAATCAAAAGACAGAAGAATCACTGATTATTGAAATTTTTATATTCTTATTAAAAATTAATCAAACAATAAACTTAAAACACTTCTCAAATCATTACAATCAAAAAATGGTACCTCTTTTAGATTGACTTTTAAAACATAAAATTTCGATCCTGTCTGTCATTTATGGATTACTAATTTGTACTTGGTCCTTTAATAATTTAGAAAATATTGGGAATTCCTAAAACAGTAATTCATTCAATCGATTTCGAATTTCGAAGTCGAACTTAAGTATGTCCGGGTATCATTCTGCTTTAAAATGTCTGGAATATGATGACGTCAGAGGACTGGAGATGATAATCTGACTCAAATTTTGACAGTTAAGATGTTTTAAGAATGCTTTATTCATAAGAGTAAAAACTTGAATTCATCTTCTTTTATCTATTGTTTTATGATATATCGGAAATATGGAAATATGTGTCAGAAATTATGAGATGACGTAAAGTCATACTCTTAATTCAATATTAATAAGGGTGAAGAATTATATGAAACATCATTATTAATAAGGGATAAAGAAATGTTTATAATACGAAAGTATTTGCTTCTGGCGTGTCAATAATATCTAAACATTGTATATAAAGTCTGATAAGATCTTAATTGACACTTATCATATGTACTATATTCCCATGTGTATATTTTATACTTTAATACACCGGATCAATATCAACTTATTAAGAATGTCCTTGCAAACAACTAAACAATCTACTACTATTAACGATTCTGTAAAGAATACACAACCCTCTGATTCTCTACAATATGGAAATATGGAAATATTATTTTGTCGAAGAGATCATGTCAGGCGTTGCTTGTCAAATATTTATCACGTCTCATTGTAAGATAATGCTAAAGACAATTATCGATTAGAATGTCGGTTTCTTTGATTATTTTAGATATCATTGACATTTAATTTGTCCCTTAAAAATTTGAAGTAGGTAGAAAAAGATAGATTTAATCGCAAACTACATAATTTTTCCAATAATAACAATGATCGTGATAGTAAACTTATCTCTTAGACCACATTTACAGATTATGAAACAAATCAATCACTTTATGCATATTTATTATATTTTTTAGTGTGTTGTAGTGTGTGTTTCATATGTACTTGATTTTATTCATCTAAATTGCTTCTTATCCTCAGGAACCAGCTATAGCTTAAATTCTTGTCTTTTGATAAAGAATGATTCATTTGGAGGAATTTTTATCCAAGTTAATCTATCTAAAACAGTGTCAGCTATTATGAATTGTCTAATACCCCATTTCCCTATATTATATACTTCAGGAATCTTTTCTGATAACTTAGGAAATAATTCTTTGTAATAAGGTATAAATTCTTCAACATCCTCCTTTTCAATTATTTTATTTTCACTGATCTCTAGAAACATGTCAATAATAAATTTCGGGAATGAAAAGTCAAATTTTTTAGGATACGCTTCATGATTAGAGATTCTGACTACCCATAATAGCAATGCCTCTCTTATAGCATCTTTTTTAACTAAATCTTCATAATTAATAATTCCTCTGTTTATCAGCATTGAATTAGCAAAAGTTTTATCACTTTTAAAAATACTTTTAAAAGATATATTTTCTTCTGATGACTTTAAAATTTTCTTCTGCAATTTTTGTAACGACTCGATATTAAAGTTAAAAATTCGTCTTTGAGAAGTCAAATATATCTTTACTTGTTTTAATGTAGAAGTATTGTAATTATTTAGCTTTGATTGATCAAATTTTAGTAACCCCTTGAACATAATAAGTTTTTGATTAAAAATTGAAAGCAATTGATCACAACCTTCAAGAATGCTTCTAATTGTGGTAGTTTTTTCTGACTGTAGTTTGCATAAATAACCAAAGAAGTTAATAAGGTTATTTGGTATATCAACATTCATACTCAACTCAAATTCAACAGTATCAGGTTTAGGATATTCCCTTTTGGATAGCTTTACCCTATCGCCAAGTGCACTGGCGATTAATGTTGGATCCAATCTTAAAGTCAACCTAGACGTATCATGGACATTATTTTCATACGCAAATCCGTAGCTTAGTAATAATTCTTCGTTTGTTTTATCTCCATAATTATTAAACACTTCTTCATTTTCTCTGATGGTATCTAAAGCATTGAAACTTATGTTGCCATCACGATAATTCCATCTAACGTTAGTGTCATTCTTATGATTCAATAGATCGACTACTGGGAATAAAAATGCTGTGTTGATATCACTTGAGGTATCTGTATCAATTATTAATTCTGGAAAAGCCCTTGAACTAAATATACAAGAGGCCCATAAATATGCGTAAAAGCTATTCCATTGAATTTCATTGTTTCCGTGATTTCTGAAATTCCAAACGTATTCAAACAATATTTTTTCATTTATGGAACTACCTAGTATTGGATCATCTGTTGACAACTCTAATTTATCCATCAATTCTTCCCATTCATTAAATATTTCAATCAAGTTATTTTTCATGATTAGGAATAGATCAGTGCCTTCTATCACCTCAATTATTTTAGGATCCCAAAAATACGGTTGGTCTAACTCAATTGGTATAATATTTAAGTATGGAAGGAATTTATTTCTTATTCCGTTACCAAAACTACCATTAAATTTTAAACTTGAAAAGAAAAGTATGGTTAAGGAATTAGGATTTTTTGTAGATAACTTAAGGTCTTTTGAAGTTACACCCATATATTTCTCTGCTAATTTCCTATTGATAATTAAATCAGATGGCACACTAATTAGAGAATCTTCTTGTTTGCTTATAATACTGTTGGAAAAACAACTGATACCTGTAGATTTGGTTACTCTGAAATCAATCCTTTCATCGATTACAGCACCATTTTCCTTGCTCCATTTAATGAAATTGTCTAAATCTTGATTGCTTATCATTTTAACAATATTGTTGACCACTTCTATTAAAACCAAGATTTGTTATAGTCTTTTACCTGTCATTTTAAAATATATTCTATACTCAATTAAGATGATGAGATAAAAATTTTTTCTTCTTTTAACCTATAATTTTTCATAAGTCGAATTTTCACTTGCGGGCAATGAATACTCTTTCAAAATATTAAAGCCAAATAGAGTAAAGAATGTAAAAACGACTGTAATAACGACAGTATATCAAGATCTAATGGTAAGGAACTTAAGAATATTTTAAGTTTATTCCACTCAATTAATAGTAGAGGGGTGAACTAATGAGAATAGGCTGTTAGTGAACTGACTGATTTAGAATGTAGAAAAGAAGGATAGTAGTATATTAATGTATGATTTTCTATCAGTCCCTAAATTTCTTGTTTACTGGAAGATATACGACAATTGTGTCAGCGAAACTAATATTGATAATTTGTAACCATTATCAAAAACAATAGTTAATTCATTATTTTCAGTTGATTGATATTATTTTCTATATGATTTTTTAATAAATGTTTTGTTTATTCAAACTGAAATACTTTAGTGTAAATTATTGCGAGTGTTGTACTCTGAGTAGAATGTCTTTGGGTAACAAAATTATATTTCTTAACTTATTCCAAAAATTCAATAATTACATTTTATATTTGTTTTAGATTGACTGGAAAGATATTACTTTAAAATTATATTCCATTATCTTCAAATTTTTTTTAAATTATAAAATCTTAAAATCTTATTTTTTATGCTAATTAAACATTATTACCAAACTGAAGTGGAGGGGGGGGACAAATTTTGCATGGATGAGAACTTTAGATTTAATGATACTTTTATTCATATTAACTATCGATATTTATATTACAAAAAGTATTATTCTGGAGATGACGATTGATTTTGAAATGAAAAAGTAATAAGTTGACCCTGAATTCATTGATTAAGCTTACATTAAAACAGTCGATTATGAGATAAACTATGCAAAATTAAAATAATAGAATTCAGTGAACTTAAGAATTAAAATTTTATATATACTAGTATAACAAGTAAAGTTTATTTTTATTTTTGGTAATATAAACGATAATTAACTTTAAGTGGATTATCTATTACTTAAGTAAAACATTATCCAAAAAATAAATAACATAGTAAAATTGGTTTTATTCCGGTAATTCTACATCTTTATCCATCTGCCTAGACCGATATTAATGGATATATATATATATATAATTTGTTCTTATTAAATAAACCAGAAACTTCGAATAATATTCGAAGTCTTCTCCTTTTGACATTATTAAAACTAAACTATTCTTTTAAAATTATTAACAACACTTAGGAATTCAAAAGTTCAAGAAAAAGAAAAGGAATGGTTCACTACAATTGATATAATTCAAAAACCAGTTCCTAAAAATTTATTAAAAATATACTCTGTATAATATTAATAGAATGTTATATTTTTGGTTCTATTACTTTTAAAGGAATTAGTACTGTTTGAATACCAAGTTAAACGTAATTTTTGAAGTGCAGGTAAAACTATCCAATCCAGTATTGTAAAAACTTGGAAATGAGGAAAGGTAAATTGTCAATATTTTTTTATTTATCTTTGTCGGATTGGATATTTGATGCTAGCAAAAGTTATATTTAACATGGACTTACTTCTATTTTTATCGTAACCAACAATCAATCAATTGTGAAACTCAAAGAAGTAAAAAATTAAACTCGATTGAAAGATAAAACAATATTCAATTCCATTAAATGTTTCTAAAAATCTCAATCCTTTTTTAATTAGAGGAAAGTCTTTTCAATGAGAGAGTTTCTTTTGGTTTCAGGTGCATTTTATTTTTTGGTAAACTAAGTGACAGGCAAAATATAAAAGTTGATAAGCAATTGTATATAAACTTATCTTCATTCATATGGAAAATTTTTGGAAAGTTTATTGTTTGCAGAAGAAATTTTTATTTTTCCTATTGCAAAATAGACATTTTCTAATAAACAGTCTTGGTATTCAAAGATTGAAATATTGACGCATAAATATTGATATTCTAAAATAGAATCCTGACTTGTGCAATTTGGATGGATACTTTATTGTTAATATTTGTCTTGTCCATGTATAAGTTCTTAAACAAGTCCTTAAATGATAAAATATTGTCTTAATAAAGTACACAATCGGGACCTTGTCTTATAAAAGATGTATATATTTATACCATTAATTGTCTCATATTTCTAGCTTCTCTTCAATTCAATTATAGGTTAAAACTAATTGACCTATTTATGTTTTCTATAGCATTGAATTGTAAAGGATACAAATTTATTGATATCTTTCTATTGAGATGAGGCAAATAAAATTCGATTACAACAATCTTATGAAATTATTAGTAACTTTTTAGTTTTATAGTAACTTTTTAGTTTTATAGTAATTTTTTGGTTTTGTTTATCAATTTTTCAGTTCAGCAAAGGTTGTAGTAACCTCATTGAAGGTAAACTAAATATTAAAAAGTTTCTGGAATCAATAAGAAAACAATAAATACTAATTATTGCAATTAAAATAAACAGGCCAAGACAGTCTTAACTATAAAAAATATATTTTCTCCTTGAGTTTTACCTATAATTAGAAGGTATAAATTATATAAATATAAGACAATTAACCGTATGAATATATAAATCTTTTGTAAGACAAGGTCCCTATTACCCAATAAATACAAATATACTTTGGCATCAAATTAGACCCAAAAAGTTAATTAGACAAAAAGATCTTTTAACAACATGTTCAAAGTTGTATTCAATAAATTGAAGATAATGAAATTTTATACTTAAACATTTTTTTTTAATATTCATATATTCATATATTCTAAGAAATTTTTAAACTGTCACTTAATATGGAATGTATGACATTTGAGATAACTTAAGTATAGAATTCGTTTGATAAATTCTTTCTTATGAATTATGAAACAAATTGACAATGAATAGAACATCAATTATTAAACTACCATAAGGATAAAGTTTTCTTAGAAGTATCCTCCTATTTAACTGGCAAGTAGTTTTTTTGTAAGATTTTTGAAATTTCCAAACAATTTACATCAAGATAAAATTTAAATTCCCACTCTATTAACTTAAGTTGAATGTTAGAAAATGAAGAAAAAAGTTGGATTCAATACCATTTTTTAGATTTACATAATTTTCTGCTGTCTATTCAGGTTTGTTATAAGCAATGGTAAAAGTAATGTGTTAATATTGTTAAAATATTCTAAATATAGGTCATCATAATAATATCTTATAACAATTCTCTTGTATTAAAGTCTAATTAAACATTATATTAGATAGTTCTTGTAAAAACTTTTTTATTAATTATATAAAATCTTTTCAACCCTTATAATATGGACGTTTTCAATATTACTCTTGACATAGTAACAAAACAACTTTATATTGGCATCTCTAGTAAAGATGAATCATGAAAATTTCTGATAATTAGCCAAAGGAATATGGAATAATCCGAAATTAACAACAATAAAATTATAAAAAGCAACAAATTTGAAAAATTGAGGTAGTCCAATTTCACTAGAAAAGAAATATCGATTTTAGAGTCACAGTTAATATTTTAATAATTTTTTTTCATAAATTTTAAATTAATAATCTTTATAGAAAGTTGAAACAACATTTTTGAAGGAAATTGTTTTTTTATTAGTATGTTTTTTTAATGACGCAAGTAGGAACGACTTTTCAAATAAAAAGTTAGTTCTTAATTAAGTGACTTAGGAAAAAATAATACTTTTTAAATGTTTTAAAGAAACTGATTGAGGTAGCATGATTGGAATAACGTTATTTTCAATGTAAATTTTTACTGAAAATATCAAAAATAGTTAAAATTAAATTTTAATTAACAGTTAGAAATATCTTTCTCTGCTCTTTGTCTCTTAAGTGTCAAGGGTACCAATCATCATATTATCATAGAAATAACTTTAAGTGACAAATCAGCTGTTTTAAACACATTTTTAGTATTAAAATATTACTGATATCCTACGAAATAAAATCCTCAATTAAGATTTCTAAAACAGGCATTTTATAATCATGATTGTTAAAATATAATGATACTTAGTTTTCCAATAGAATACTTTCAATTTTCATGTTGATGGTATTCTTCAATGAGCAAAAAACAAGAACGAATGGTACCAGAGACAAATATAAACATAAATTAAATATTGATAGTTTTGGTTGTTTTATCAACAATTCATCTGGTTTCTTTGTAATGTTTATGACGTACTTCTCTCCTCAGGAATAAAAGCGTTTGAATTAACTTGAAGAATATTTTCTATGCTTTAAAAAATTAACTAGAAATAAAAGTAATTAGTTACTTCATAAATTCACAAAATTGTTGAAATGTTCTTTAAGCATTCAACCAAATTATAGTACTCTGTGTTATGGGACTCTTAAAACAATTGAAAAACCTAACATTGTATTGATGACATCACTAATTTTTTTTTATCACCTCGCACAATAATAATTTCTTAATGATGGTCATGACTAAAAAAAGAGGTAGTAGTTAGGTGATTCATGCAATTAATTAACCTCATCGCTTATGAATTCTAAACTGCATTCATATTGATAGAAAAAGATAACGGTAATAAACGTTGTGTACAGTTAAATTTTTCATATGTCAGTATAGAAAAAATGTTGGAAAAAAGTTTCTATACACAGTTTAAGTACACAATACAACCAAATCTTTTAGCCTGGTTGTTTCAAGGCAAAAGGACAATATAATTGATTTGTCAGGAGGGAAACCGGAAATCTTTATCAGAGGACAGAAGAAGGTACTGATTATTTTTTTTCCTATTCTAATACTCTGATTTCTTAAAGAAAGTATTCCTGTATCAAATATAGAACGGTCAAAGCGACAATTGTGATAAACTATTTACGGCCATGAAATCATCCTAACTCTTTCTTCCGATTTGAATTGTTGGTAGGTAATCAAGGGTATTACCAATACCAAATAAAAA